CCCCCCCCCCCCCCCATCATGGACCAGTTCTTTGGATGATAATCATGGTGTTGAAGTTTATTTGATTTGGTCTACACTAGGAGAGCATCAACAAACCAGTAGCAGGAATATTGATGAACTCCAATTCTACTTGCAAATTAAAGTCACCAGAACCCCACACAAAGGAATTTCTACCGCTGGGTTGGTGGATGAGCAACTCAAATCAATTTCCTGTTCTTTCGGCCATAGCTCGAGACGTGCTAAATGTGCCGATTTCAACAGTCGCATCAAAGAGCGCAATTAGCCAAGCAAGGCAGCAACTAGGAGATACTCGTCATTCACTGGGCAGCAACGCTTTGGAAATTCTAGTGTGCTTCAGAGATTGGATAAGATCCGAACAGAGAAATCAAGGGCGTGACGAGGTAGATGAAGCGGAGGACCAAGAAATTGGAGATATAATGATTTATGGTTCCGATTCAACCAATGACGAAAACCAAGAACCTCATGTTGACATGGATGAACTTGCAAAAATGATGCTTTTCTTATTTTTTTTGTAATTCTTGTAAACTTTTAATTTGCAAGTTCAAAAATAAAAAATAAAAAAAGAACTTGCAAATTAATTTGAATTATTATATATTATTTAATAAAAATATCAAATGAAAGCCTTCGGAGCTTGATCCTTACATATTGGCTATTGGTCTTATTAGATAATTTTCTTGTAACCACTTACTTTTTAGAATTCAAATTTCAAATTTGAAAGTTGAAACTTTAAACTTCCAAGTTTAATTCTAAGCCTTAAAAGTTTGCTAACACTTAAGTATCAATAACAGTGAATAAGAAAAATAAAATTTACTTAAAAAAAAAAAAAGATTAGCCCGCCCCGGTCCGGAACCGTTAATCCCGAACTAGGACGGGCCCAAAAAAGCCTGAAAATGTACAACCCGCTAACAGCCCGTTAACTCAGCCCGCTAACCAGCCCCAAAACGTTAAACGGACGAGCTGGTTTGTTTTGCGTTCAGCCCGCCCGTTAAACACCTTTACATCATATTTTACAAAATATTAATCGCCCTAAGCAGCAGTGGCGGAGCTACATTGAACAAAGGGGTGTCAAGCGACACCCCTTCGCCGAAAAATTACACTATATTGCTAGATAATTTTTTATTTTATTTTATGTATATTTGCTATATGTTGACTCCCTTTGACTTTTTGATGTATCTAATTATTTATATTTTGACACCCCTTGATGAACATTCTGGCTCTACCAAACAGCAGAGGTAAGAAAGAAACTTGGACCACGAATTCATATATAGTAGTCTAACAAATCTTATACTAGTTCAGTTGTACAGTTGAAATTTAATGTAGAAATTAAACTTGGGGTAGCATTACCTAATCGCCTATGTTGCAACTTAGTTACAAATGTGCTTGAATAATTAGAAATTATGTCTCAGTAATTACAATCCAATAAAAGCAAAAAAGAACAATATGAATACCACGTATAAAATGGTCGAATTTTGAACGGAGGAAATATGTGACTTAAGTTCTTAATGTATAAGCCCTACATGTGGCCTGTGGGTTTTGTAGACACAGAAATAAATTAAGCGAAATTCTATAGATTATTATCAATAATCAATTGATTAAATTCCAGTAATTTAATATAATTTGATTAGTACATATAATCTTAAAATTTGAGGAATTAAATAATTATTTATTGTTGAATTCGAAATCTAGTAAGGAGAACAATTACAAAACTTTAGTGACATAATTATCCTTTTAACGCAATTACAAAGAATTTCAGGTTAGAAAAGAATATGATAGGAAACTTTTATTACTAATTATATTAGAACTATGAGAAACGATCGATTACTTGTTTGGAAAGAAATATAAGACCTAATTCTTTTTTGGTAAGGATTTGACTAAAGGGAAAACGAACTCTATATATTAGAGTTTCTTCCAACGTCAAAAAACAACAATTCATAGAACTTAACATACTTTAAAAGAAAATCTTGATCTCTTCTGCTGTCTACTGTGTGTGATTTTCATAAGAGAGAATATGAATATGATTAAAGTTGGTCCAGTTGGAGGATATGGTGCAAGCAAACATTCAACAATTTGGAGTGAAAAGGGACGAGACCAAGTTGCCGGTTTTCGTATTACATACGGCAAACACTCAGTTTATTCACTTCAGTTCATGTACTATGAGAATGACAGATTAGTTTTATCAGACAGACATGGTGATTGTGATGATGATGAAAAAAGAAACTTCGTTCCCGTTGTTTTTGATTATCCATCAGAATATCTTACTTCGATAAGTTGTTCAGTGAAACACGGGCCATTATTAATGTTCATGACATCTATAAAATTTGGAACAAACAAAGGTTCCTATGGACCATGCATTTGGGCGCCCTTCAACTGATGGCAATGATATTGACTTCGACTTATCGATAGGAAATCGTCGTTTATTTGGTGGTTTTCATGGCAGTGAGAATTGCTATGGCGTTGGAAGTATTGGGGTCTATTTGAAGACAGAAAGCAATGATCAAGAAGGATCTTCAAGTAATAAAGCGTCGAAAAGGACGAAGAGCTATTAACTTATCAAAATGTCTTTATGATGTAGCTAAATTGTAGTATAATTGCTAAAAAGGATTTAAGTTGTATACATTAAAAATGTAATGATTTTTGCATCAGTAATGTAATTTAATCTATTGTAATAAATTACTTGTCATTATTATGGTATCAATTTCATACACCATTTTGCCTGTTTGCCACGACATATGCTCCGGCCATACTCCAAAACTACTTAAGACCAAAGAGAATACTTTGCAAATGAAACACCATTTAAGATCGTGATTTTGGTCGTTAAATAAATTAGTCTTTTAAAAAAAAAATTAAATCAATAATAGGGACACCTTATTGAAAACTGTGATTCAGTGGCCACCAAAATTAAATTGAAAGAGAGAAACTAAGAGTCAAATTCCTATTTCGAGGTTAAAGAGGTAAACTGAACGGCTCCAAGTAGTATATATAACTCCTATATATATGTAAAAAGATCTTCAAAATACTCAAATTTAGAAAGAAGATAGAATATGGATATGATCAAAGTTGGCCCAGTGGGAGGTTATGATGTTGGTGGAACCATTTGGGATGAAAAGGGACGAGACCAAGTTGGAGGGATTCTTGTTTCCTATAGCAAAGACGGAGTCGATTCACTTCAGTTCTTGTTCTATGAGAATGGAAACTTAGTTCAGTCAAACAAACATTGTATTCATCACAGCGAGAACTTCTGTGCAGTTATCTTTGATTATCCATCAGAGTTTCTTACTTCGATAAGTGATTCCTCCGAAAAAGTGAGTCAGGACATGAGCTCTACAATTTTGACATCTATAGTCAGTTTGGTGGTTTTCTTGGCAGCGAGAATTGCCATGGCATTGAGAGTATAGGGGTCTATGTGAAGACTATCACATCCTCCATGGCTCCATCACCCATTGAAAAATCCTCCAGTATAGGGTGAAAAGGAAGAAAAAGATTTACTCTAAGGTATTTTCACCATCTAAAAATTTCCAAATGATATATTCCGTTTTATTTTGCTACTATATGCATTATGCTTTTCTATCTTAAAAAGATAACGAAATTTTGAACAAGTTTAATTAAGAATATTTCCTGCACTTTCTTAGTAAATTTGCCTACTTTATTATGTCGATTATATATTATGTTAGACGGAAGGCAAAAACTGACTAGTGTTTTGTTTACTACTTTTACGTAATAAATCCATTGATTGGCGCTTGATTATTATGTAAGGATTATATTTTGGGTGTTATATGATAGTGAGGTAAATCACCCTCAATTTCCATTGTCAAATGTCATCTTCAATCTTTTAATTTAACCTTATTGTATTTTATAGTATTTAAAAGTTAAAACTTAAGCGTTTTAACTTTTATACATTGTGAGTATCGCTGCTGGATCATCAAACTATAAGTTACTATACATAATAAGTAGGGCAATTAGTAGAATGTATAAAAATACCACTATCCTACTGCCTGAAACAGAATAGACTGTACATGACAACAACAAAAGAAGAGAACTCCGGTATGCTGCTGAACAACTCAGAAGGTGAAGCTCACCGTGAGATCTCGATCAAGAATCAGGAATGCGCGCCGGAGGGGTAACTAGATGCACCTGCCTCACATCCTGTATAGTTAAGTACAAAGCGTAGTATGAATACATAAATAACATGTACCCAGCAAGTATCCAGTTTAACCTCGAAGAAGTAGTGACGAGGGGTCGACTTGACACTTACTAAGGTCAATAATCAATGATATTTAAGGTTTAATCTAAGCATGGATAATAGGGGTGGGGGCATAATAGCGACCAAACCAATAAAATCGGCCAAATCGTGAATTTTGGTTTTTCGGTTTCGGTTTCGGTTTAATCGGTTTTTCGCGGTGCACGATTTTAAAATTATTAATTTTCGGTATTTCGGTGCGGTTCACGGTTTTTGTATTTCGATTTTCGATTAAACCGAAAAACCGAAATTCAGGGGTATTACAATTTACAAACATTAAACATCTTTGATTTTTTTCTTTTTTACATCATGATTTGGATAGTCTGATACTAATACAGCTGGTAGGGTCCGGTGAAACTAGAGAGGAATTATCAATTTACAAACTATATTAAGTTTTATATACTGTTCAAAATGCTTTAATTATTAATTCTGTCCAATTACTTTGTTCATATTTATAATTTGGACAGCCAATGTTTGTCGTAGCAGTGCGATGTGAGTGTTGCTTGTGAAGATATTTGGCACATGTTTTCTATTTTAGATCAGGTTGTCTTCGTACTGTGTATTTATTCCTCATACTTTTAGTTCAGCGTTGCTCTTAATTCATCTATGTTTTCTGTTTCGTTAGTACAAGTGATTCTTGGGAAATTATATTTCTTAGTTGCGTTGTAAATGAAGTTGTGCGATCTTTAGATATATTATGTTGGCGTGTCAATGCTAAATTTTGTATTTTTGTCTGGCCAGCTTTTGTTTTAAACTGTTTAAAACCGAAAAAATAAATCAGAAATAACTGAACCGAACTTTAAAAAACCGCACCGAACCGTAAATACTTTAGTTTGATTTGGTTATTAATATTACAAAACCGAAAACCGATAAACCAAATCGTACTTTCATAATAACCGACCGAATGACCGACGCCCACCCCTAATGGATAGCATGAATATAATGACAGTCTCAGAACAAGAGAAACAATATGTCAATTTCAGTCATGTCATATAATAATTTGCATTTCAAAGCATTTAAACAGAGTAAATCATGGATGAATTTCATATAAATAACATGCGCACCGTACGGCCCGGTCTAACATAATGATAATTGTGCACTTCCAGAAGGTCGAATGGCGAGAACCATAGATGCATCTATTTCTACTGAGGCGATCGGCCCGATCCACAAATAGCAATTATTATCAAGAAGGCACACATTGCTCATTTATAGTCAAATTGATTCATACAAGATCACAAGTAAGTGCGTACATTTGTTTATATTTATTTACAATCTCTAACATGTCCTAAGTGATCTCAGTAGCAAGCAAGAACGTAAGCATTTGCATGTATGGTATGATACGGGTCCTAAACTATCCGGACAATTAGCATAATAGTAGTTATGCACGGACACTCGTCACACGTACATATGTAACCCCCACAGATAGTCACATATATTTATTTAATTCACCTAGGGGTTATTTCCCTCTTACGAGGATAGAGAGGAGACTCACCTTGCCCCAAAGCTTACTTCCAATTTCAAGAACGCGCTCAAACCCTCAATTTAGAGCCGAACGATCCAAAACTAATCAAACAGGTTAAGAACTAGTCAATACAAGCCGAATTCTAAAATTTTTTGAAGAAAGTTGTTACCCATAACCTAAGGATCAAGAATATATGATTTTTAGTCCATTCCATAACAAATTTCGTGGTTAGATCTTATTTTTATTAAAACCCTAGGTTTTCACCTAAACCCTTGATTTTTCCTAATTTTTACATGTTAATCTACTCAAAATCAATATATTTAACTCATATTGTGTAGAAATTACTTATCTCAAAGTACTAGGTGGAAAACCTCTTCCAAAAGCTCCAAAAGCCGCCTAAGAGGATGAAGTGAAATGAAATAATGGCCTAAATCCCGCATTAAAAGAACTGGATACATCCTTCTGATGTCGTATTTGCGACACCAGGTTCGCAAATGCGACAAAAGCCTCGCAAATGCGAAGCCTGGGCTTCAGCTGTTGGGATCGCAAGTGCGACCACAAAGTTGCAAATGCGACGTCTGCTGGTATTGACAATGCGGCAAAAGTGTCGCAAATGCGAACACTGCCTGCGTCGGGCTTCATCGCAATTGAGAAGCCATCTTCGCAAATGCGAGGTTCGCATTTGTGAACAATCTCTCGCATTTGCGTGACCTGCAACTAGTGCCAAGAACACCAGAAAATCTGGTGTGCTTTCAACTCCACCCACACGTCTGAAACTCACCCGAACCCTCAGGGCTCTACACCGAATACTCACACAAGTATAACAATATCGTACAAACTTGCTCGCACGATCGGAACACTGAAATAACATCAAAAACCACAAATTGGACGCCAAAATGCATGAATTTACTCATGAACTCCAAGAACTTCTAAAACACTTCCGCGCGTCCGATTCCTATCAAATCAACTCGGAATGACGCCACACTTTGTGTGAAAGTCTGAAAAGACATTACGGACCTACTCAACTTTCGGAACTAAAATCCGAACACGATATCAAATAGTCCACCCTCTGTCAAACTTTCCAAAAACTTCAAGTTCTAGCTTTTCATCAAATGACTCCGAGACGACCTACGGACCTCCGAATCCACTTTCGGACGCGCTCCTAAGTCCAGAATCATAATATGGAGCTATTCCTTGGCTCGGAATCCCAAACGGACGCCTAGAATGTTAAAATCCATTTCAACCCAAACTTATGAAATTTGCTCAAATCGCCATCATTCACTATTAGGCGCCGAAACACCCCCGGGTCATCCAAAACCCAATCCGAACATACGCCCAAGTCCGAAATCATCATGCAAACCTATTGGAATTGTCAAATCCCGATTCTGAGGTTGTTTACTCAAAATATTGACCGAAGTCAAACTTGGCCTTTTAAGCCAACCTTAAGGAACCAAGTGTTCTGATTTCAACCCAAACTCTTCCAAATCCCAAACCAACCATCCCCGCAAGTCATAAATCAGTAAAGGCAAGTACGGGAAGTATTATTTAGGGGAGCGGGATTCTAGAAAACAAAATGACCAGTTGGGTCGTTACATTCTCCACCTCTTAAACAAACGTTCGTCCTTGAACGGGTTTAGATTCATACCTGAAGTGCCAAATAAGTGTGGATATTTGCTCCGCATGTCCTCCTCAAACTCCCAGGTTATCTCCTCGATCGGTTTGCCCCTCTACTGGACCTTTACCGCAGAAATCCTCTTGGATATCAACTGGCGATTCTGTCTATCAACAATGGCAACTAGCTTCTCCTCATAACCCAAGATCTCATTTAGAAGAATGGTACTGAAGTC